AAATTATGTTATAAATATTATAAATTATGTTATAAATATAAATTATGTTATAAATATTATAAATTATGTTATAAATATAAATTATGTCGTAAATATTATAAATTATGTTATAAATATTGGGAAAAAACTTATATTAGTCGCTTCGCTGTATAAGTCGCAGGACGTGCAAATTTATGCAAAAAGGTGCGACTTATATGGATAAAAATACGGCATGTGGACACAGAAGGTTGCAGCTGGAGAGGCACTGACGTCTTTAACGTCCTCAGATTACAACAAATTATCTTCATTTCTGGTAATCTGACGGATTATTTACTCCTGAAGGCGTTTCTTGTAACGTCAGTTTTTATCTTCAGCAGCTGTGAGTGACTGAATGACCCGAGGTCTGAAGTGTTTTGTTCTCACCAGTTGTTGGCCTTGAACGCCCCATGCAGCGTACTGGAGAACCGAGTTCACCACCTCAGGGGGGTCCAGCTCCCAGACCTCCCTGAAACAGAAAGATGGACACGCTTTGTCAAACACCCGCCTCTGGTGCTAAACTCTAAACGCTCTAAAAGACACAGATTGTCATGATTTCAGCTCCTGCCTCCGCTGCTCTTTGCCACCTGCAAGCGCTCTTGGCCACGCCCACTTCACTGCTCCGCATGTAGAACAGCTGATCAGCTGCAGCAGGAAGTTTATCCTGCAGTGTGGGCTGCACAAAGGTGCAGCAGGTGCTAAATAATTTTAAACAATTTATTTTAAATAAAAATGTCATGCCGATCGTGCGGCTCATCCGTCAATCAGCCGATTGTGCGTCATGTCCAATCTTATTTTGAAAAACCTTGAAAGAACGAGGGACTACTGTACTTGAAATGAGCCAAATATTCCTAAACACTGTGGCACGGTGGCGCAGTACAGCTGCTGCCTCTCTGCCAACAGGTTGTCCCGATTCAAATCCCGGCGGAGGCCTTTCTGGGTGGAGTTTCCATGTTCTGTCCGTGCACACGTGGGTTTCCTCCCACAGACCAAAAACATGCACGTTAGGCTGATTGGTAACTCTGAATTATCTCTAGGTGTGTGTGAGAGAGAGTGAATGGTTGTCTCGTTTGTCTCTGTGATGGACTGGAGACCAGTCTGTCCCCCGCCTCTCGCACAGTGACTGCTGGATTTGGACACCAGTGACCCCATGACCCGAAGAAGAAGATGTGGGTAAAGATGGATGGATGGATGGATGGATGGATGGATGGATGGATGGATGGATGGATTCCTAAACGTGACCAAATTTTCTTAATTTGAGAATAAAAATCTGACGAGGGGTTCAGCAGAAGTTCTTCGGCTGGAACTCTTTAGAGTAGCTAACGAGCTAACAGCTGGTGCCTTAAACTAAACTAAATGATCCAAAATTAAAGAAAACTGCACTTCTCACAGCCAGAGACTGATTTTCCGTAAGAAATATTTTCTTAGAATGAACGTTATGCCTCTTCATTCATCTGACTTTAAGATGTTTTATGCTTCATTTAAGAACATTTGACTTGTAATAAGGAAACACACCTGAAGTGTAGAAAACTGCCCAAACTGAGAGAGATGCACTCCCGAACAAACTGATTTCAAGAATTATTTGCTTATTTAAGATTTTCCATCTCAACTGAAGTTTTCACGTAAACAAACAGAGTTTACTGCAGGACAAGTTTTCAAACGAGCTGTGGGCTGAGCGGGCGCACGACTTCCAACCCGACACGATTCGTCTCCTCTGCAGAACGGTCCTGTTCAGATCAGCTGGCGAGACCTTTGGGTGCGTTAACGTGAGTCGGTAACATCTGGAACAGAAACATCTGTTTCCACGCATGAGCACAAGAGTCGGTGCCGGTCGTGTTCTGACCCGCAGGTTTATCTGGACGGGAAACTCACCGGGTGTGGATGTTGTAGATGCTGTAGGAGGCCATGAAGGAGTGACGGTAAACCTACGGAAGGAGACGCAGATGAAACGATGACGAACAGACACGAAGACAAAAACAATCAGAAAGGAGCTGAGAGCATCGAAGAACAGCTGCTCTCAGAGACGACCTGCACAGCTGCAGGCCGAGGGACAGATCGTCTCCGCAGGGAGACGGAGGAGACACGGAGGAGGTGAAGCCTGCTGAAGGACAGAGACTGTCCCGACAGGAAACGGAGCCTCGGCTGCTTAAAGAGGGATGAAATTCTCCTCACCCAAACTCCCACCGACTCCCACTGACTCCCATTGACTCCCATTGACTGCCACTGACTCCCATTGACTCCCACTGACTCCCATTGACTGCCACTGACTCCCACTGACTCCCATTAACTGCCACTGACTCCCATTGACTCCCATTGACTGCCACTGACTCCCATTGACTCCCACTGACTCCCATTGACTGCCACTGACTCCCATTGACTGCCACTGACTCCCACTGACTCCCATTGACTGCCACTGACTCCCATTGACTGCCACTGACTCCCATTGACTCCGACTGACTCCCATTGACTCTGACTGACTCCCATTGACTCTGACTGACTCCCATTGACTGCCACTGTCTCCCATTTACCTGAGCTTAGAGTCCCAAGTCAATTCAGTTTAAACAAATAACACCAGAAAAAACTGGTTTCAACCGTAAATCCAGTCCAAAGACTTCAGGTCTATAGATTCAGGTTCAGTTTATTCTGAAATTCTTTCAGTAAAAGTAGCCGAAGCAGTTTGTCCTGTTTGTCCTCGTCGTCTGTCCAACAGGAAACAGAAACAGTCTCACTCCTTTTTTCGGTGTTTACATCGTCTTTTGTTTGTGTTTCAAACAACCTCAGCTGTTTCAGCTATCAAAAGGTTCGGCTCATTCAGAACATTACGGCTGTGGCTTTTGTAACTTTTACGTTATTTTTCTTAATTTACATTTTTTACTTACAGAAACATTAAGATCTTTTAAAATCCTTTTTTTAAATATTAAGCTTACATGTTCAGTCTTTAAGCTATTGTTATACTAAATTTAGCTTTTAGTTACTGTGTTGCTAGATTTATTTGTAGCTACATTTCTGTTGCTCTTACATTTTAGCTACTGTTAATCTAACTTTAGCTTTTAGTTACTGTGTTGCTAATTTTAGCTACTATTATTGTAATTTTAGCTTTAGCTTTGTGTTGCTAGTTTTAGCTACTATTAATGTAATGTTAGCTTTTAGTTTCTGTGTTGCTAGTTTTTTCTTTAGCTACAGTTCTGTTGAGCTTACCTTTTAGCTACTGTTATTCTAACTTTATTTTTTAGCTACTGTTGCTAATTTTAGATTTTTGCTGGTGTTCTGCTGGTCTTAGCTTTGATTTGTTTTGTTTGTCTCAGATTTTAATCTTTTTTTGCTACCATCTTTAGCTTTTAGCTTATGTGTTGCTAGTCAGCCTTCTGTTTGGTAGTTGCCATTTTGTTTGTTTGTTTGGCTTTTAGTTAATTGTCCTGCTGCTCATAACTTTTAGCTATTGTTTAGCTGATTTTAGCTTTTGTTCTGCTGGTCTTAGCATATAGCTACTATTATTTTAACTAGTTTATAGTTACTGTGTTGTTCATTTTAGCTACAATGATTCTAATTGTAGCTTCTGGTTTTTGATTTGCTTGTCTTAGCTTATAGCAATGGTTTTGCTATTATTTCTGCTTTTAGCTACTGCTAGGCTGGTCTTAGCTTTTAGTTATTGTGTTGCTAATCTTACCCGTAACTATTGTTTTGGTGGGGGGTTTTTTTGTTTAGCTTTTAGTTTTTCTTTAGCTGGTCACAGCTTTTAGCAACGTTTTAGCTAACTTCAGCTTTTAGTTTTTGTTTTGCAGGTATTATCTTATGGCAAATGTTTTGCAAATTTTTCTGCTTTTAGCTTTTAGCTACTGTTCTGCTGGTCCTAAATATTGTTTAGCTCGTTTTAGCTGTTGTTCTGATTGAGGATGATTGGTTTCACACGGACCGGGAAGGACGGCTACGAATCTGAAGATAATTGTAAACGTTTCAGAAAGTTCAGTCCTCAAACGTTCGGTGAAACATCAAAACTCTTCAAGGAGCCAAAGATTAGCTTAAAGAAGCACGATGGAAGAGCCGGAGCGTGACGTCATTCACGAGTTAAATGACTCTCCGAAGCAGCTGTTGATCATGTGACCGTATGAACGGCTTCAGACACCTACCTGTTTGACGTCGTACGCAAACAGAACGTATTTCAGATCAGGAGACACCGAATATTTGGCCACGTTGAAATTGACCTGTTGGAAACGACAGAGCGAGAAAACAAATATTATAATAAAGTTATTACTAAATGCAAACAGGTGAATTATTTGAACCTCGGAGAGTTCTTTAACTTTGTGATGACAAGAAAAAAAAAAAAAAGCATAAAAATTGTCCATCTTACTTAGATGAAAAGTTTTGTTTTTAAATGTTTCAGTTTATTTATATAACACAGAGTTTTATAAACTATAGTGTCGACCTGACGCTCTGTGTTAAAGATTATTAAAGTTAAAAAGTCTTTAAAACCCACAGATGAATTTACACAAACTGGGTGAGAAACATGATTTAAATGTGTGGAATTAAAGGAAATCAAAGTGAAATGCTGCTTTTTGTTCACGAGTGTTCAATTTTTTGTGCACACACACGCACGCGCACACACACACACACACACACACACACACACACACACACACACACACACACAC